ACCAATTAGACTTGTCTGGAGATCCTCACGCATCCGGTTACAATCCAATATATGACCGTAATCCTCATCCATCTCCAAACTAGAGAATTGCTTCGGTGGCGACATCTTCGATATTAGGGTTTGTAGTATTAGGGTTTTTGTACTATGTAGATGCGCAAGAGGTAAAACGATAGGTTAATTTTAATACATAATAGCAACAATCGACCGTTTTATAAACCGAACCAAATCGGAAATAGCCCATCTCCCTAATTTCCGAACCGAACCGAACCAAACCCATAAACTGAAATGCTGACTCCAACTAAAAAGACTTGGGATTCTTAATTTATACGACTCTTCTCATGATATATATAACCATATTTACTTAAATTCTTAAGATCAAGAAACAATAGCCGTGATAAAATATTTACCTCAACATGTCAACTGCTCACGTCAGTGACTTTTTTTACCAAGCTTGAGAACAACAGCAAAACTTTTTAGGGTTTTTATTAGGTTCAGTTTTCTTGTCTTTCAAGAACTTGGTTCTTGCATGTGTCGAGATCAATGTGTGCACACAATGAATCAAGTAGAGACTGATTGAAGATCAAACTAAATTGTTTTGGTGAAAACGGAGAATCAGAGAACCAATAACAAGTGTCTTAGTGTCACAACTTTTTTTTTTTTTTGGTTCAAAACGAACTAATGATAAAATAGCAGTGAGAGATGCACATAGAACAAGCCTAATCCGAAATAATGAATTTATAGCGTTGTATGGTACCATTTTTGTAGTTGACAACTACGCACTTTTATCAAGTGTCAATGTATATATGATATTGATGGTTTGTACGACTTTGTGAATCGAAACCACAAACCAGCAGCTCTAAAAGGGTTAATCTCTCCATTAGCTGCAATTAATGTTTTGCTTAATCAGGTTTCACTCAACATTGTTAAAGACTTAAAGCTTGAGGGGGTGAAGCAAACAACTATTGTCATTAGCCATGATCTCTCCCTTGTCACGTCAATTTTTGTTTATTTCTTCGCTAAACGGTTGTGGTTAAATATGCGTTTGCATATTGTCCTCCGTTTACGCCATGACATGTTGATAAAGTTGACACCTCACGGAGTATTGGGCCTTTAAAGCCCATGACTATGCCCATTCAGTTCTATTGTTGGGTTTTGGTTCAGTTATTTGGTTTTTCACTTTTTCAGTTTTACTAAAACATGGACCATATAAAAACCGAATGATTTTTGGTTTGGTTCAATTTGGTTAAATAATTAGAACCACAAAAGAATCAAATTTCAAAATGGTTGGATTCGGTTAAATACCGAAATACCGAAACCAAATCTGCAAATATGTACCAAATGAAAACTAAAAGTAGAAAATGAAACACATGAACAAATTGTTAAACACAAAATGGTTAATAACTTAAAGTCTTAAAAAACGGTAAACAACAAAAAATCTTTGGAAACTAAACCAACGAAAAATAAAATATCCATGTAAAGCTAAATAACCGAATACTTAAATTTCCCTGGAGCTTAAATGTTAAAGATCAAAACAAAGACTATAAAAAAGGGACGAAATACTAAACTGAAACAAGGAAATCCAACAAATCCTAAAACACTATTTTAAGTGATTCTTTTTATAGCGAAATAAGACTACTTCCTATATAAGCATTCTTAATTAAAAACCATTTCGGCAAAACAGGAACAAGAAAAATAGAAAGTCCAGATCCTTCACAAATCTACAGGAAGCGGTAAAGTCGGACGACTAAACTTTTTCAACGTCTCATCGATCGGATCTTTTATCCAAACACAAAGAGCGAACCCAAAAATATCCATGACCACACCAAACCGAATTTTTTAGTGTTACAGTTTAAAAAAAAAGAAGTTATTAATACTAAAATTTCAATATTTGTATCGCTCTTGTTCTTTCTACTAGAGTTTGGGATCAAAAGTATCTCACGAGAAGTACCAGCGCGTTGCTGGGAACTCGTTAATTGTTTGTGTTCTTACTTTCTGCAAATCAACACAAACAATCGAATAACTCAGAAGACAATTGAGCCAGCTTCCGCGAGGAGAATAACTCAATACAAACAGTTGAACTAAAACACATTTACGTGAATGTGTKAAACTTGTTCGTGATAATAATTGACACCAATATAATATTTGCATATTCATACTATTATACGTTATCCGGATATTTACAAACCGTA